TCCTGAGCTATTTTCCTTTGCCATGACTTTCTGCCATGATGCTCTGCGTCACTTTAGGCCCAGAGCTGTGGGGTTGGTTGTCTGTGGATGAAGACCTCTGAAACCACTAACCAAAATAAAACTTTCTTTCTCTTTGTTGTTCTTGTCAGATCTTTTGGTCACAGCAATGACGAAGCTGACTAAAACTAGAGACAAGTGCAACATGAGGACCCTTTCCTCCAGCAACCCAAGGACACCCCCCTGCACGCCCTGCCACCATTTGCCGTGCGGGTGTGCATGTGGGACCCAGCCTGACTTGGCTCCACTCCACTCTCCACCCTCAGAACAGGTGTCTGACTCCATCACAGTCGGCGGTGCCCCTTGGCCTCAGCTCCTCCCCTTAGGTCTTGTTCCCAGAAGATATGTGAGTTGGTATACTGGTGGACTCCTTCCCTCATGGAGTGGGGATGGCATGTTCCCCACCCATCTGTCATTTCCTGACCCAGGTTTTAGGAAACTGGAATGAAGCTGCGTGAAGGTGAACAAGACAGCCATTCTGAGTCCAGCAGACACCAGAATGAACATCTCCACAGTTAAGCAGATGAGAAGATCTCATCAGGGGTTCTCTGGAATCCCTGATACCTTTCTTGATCTCCTGTCTTCAGCAAATACCACGCCTCCAGGCACTGTTTTAGACTCAGAGAATTCCTTGGGTCCTAGAGCCCTGCACACCTCACTCCAACACTTAGGGCAAGTCTGTCACCTGGTCCTGACAAGGACTTTTGTGTGGATGCCAAACCAGCCTCCTCTATCTGACAGTCACAGTGAAGATGTCCACCTGGCTCACTTCTCAGCTTGATGAGACTCTGAGCCCTAGGTCAATATGACTGGCTTCTGACAGGAAGCCTCTAGTTTCACTCCAAGTCAACCACAAAATAGAAGTCAATATCTTTTCATATATTCAAAGTGAAGCCCATCCCCTCAAGTGCATAGAGCAATGCAGATTATAGTGAAAATTTAATGAGAAGGAAAATGTGCTCCTTACATGGCAAATCAGGTAGCAAACAACTTAACAAAACTCTGTTAGTCACTTTGGTTTTCCCCATCTCCAGCCAACAACTCACAACTCTCTTTGTTGTGAGTTGCTTGGTCTCTCCCCTACCATCCATCCTGACTCTGGCACCCTCTTTTCTGGCACCTGTGACTTCTGCAGGTATTTGGCATGGTGTTCCATGTGTGCCAACAGCCAACAGGATCAAATTGGTTGGTGCTGTTCAAATCTTCTCCAGTCTTTCTGTTTTGTTTTTTTTTTTTTTTTTTTTTTTGGTCTACTGATTTTATCCATTACTGAGAAGGAAGTGTTCAACCCTCCAATTGAGATCATAGATGGATCCATTTCTGTCTTTAGTTCTGTCAATTTTTTCTTTATAGATTTTGAAGCTCCCTGTTAGGTGCAAATACATTTAGGTTGTCAGGTCTTTTGGTTGAATGGACCCTTTTATTGTGCTGAAATATCTTTGTCTCTGGCAATTTTTTTTGCCCTGAAGTCTACATTGTCTGATATTGATATAGTTTTCCCTTTTCACACACTCTTACTTTATGTGTAAAATATCTGCATCTTTATACTTAAAATATTTATCTTGCAAACAGTATAGAGATGGGTCCTGCCTTGTTATCTGAACTATTTCTGCCTTTTACTCGACTTGCTTAGTCTTTTCACATTTAACGTCATTGTGGATATCTCTGGGTGTGAGTCTGTCATGCTAATATTCATTCCTTCTGTTCTTTGTTCTCCTTGTGCTTATTTCCTGCCTTCTTTTAAGCGATTCAACTATTTGCTAATTGGTTGTTTTATTTATATGATTTTTTTTAGCCTTTTTGTGTTAGTTTTTAGAGGTGGTTCTAGAATTTGGAAGTTATCATACTCTACATTCAAATATTGTGTTACTTCTCAATGCTTTCGCATTGTTCCAATCATGTACTTTGACTTGGTGCCTCCCCCACAAGGGGCAAATCTGAGTGTTTGGGTGGGACGAGGGTGTCAGTCACTCCAATGTTGTAGTTGCCCTGGGTCTGGGCTGTTGTGGCTTTCATTGGATTCAGGTCGCCACTATCTTCCAATATCACAAAAACACGACGAGGACTTGCCAAGCCCGAGCAGCTGTGAGCCTCTAGGGATCCCTTATGCCTCACAGTTAAATGGCCAACTTTCCAAAGCATGAGTGGCCTTTCTTGCTCTGTAACCTGGCTGGCAGCTTTTGGGGCTGCTGGGGAGTCCTCTTTGCTGGTCAGTTTCTCCCCTGGCTTTCTATGCCTTCACAGACTTTTCTCTCTCTGACCTTTTGTCTTGTCCCAGCTCTCCAGGGGCTGCTGGGCTGCACTTGGCAAAGGACAGGCGGGTTTGGAAGGGATTTCGTTAGCCCTCTGGCCCCCCTCAGCCTTCTGCAGAGGCAGCGTTGGGGAGGTTTGGCTCAGGTTTCCTGCACTGCTTCTCAGCTCTTGCATTTCGTCCCCAGACTCTTATGTCCACCCTATGCTCTTGGGATCCTGGAAGTATTTCTCTTATCAGTCCACAAGCAGCTGTTCAAAGTTTGTTAACAACTCAGCTGATTTCCTTTTAACTCTCATTTACGGAACATTCTTTCTTCTCCCACTGATCCTGCTATATTCTGAATGTACATGTCCCTCCAAAATTTGTACGTTGAAACTGAAGCCCCAATGTGATAATATTAAGAGGTGGGGCCTTCTGGAGCACATTAGGTTATGAGGGTGGAGCCCTCATGCCTGGGATGAGTGCCCTTATAAAAGAAACCTAAGCAAGCCTGTTTGCCCCTTTTTCCCCTTCTGCCATACGAGGCTGCAGAAGGATCCATCTCTGAGAAACAGGCCCTAACCAGACAGAATGAATTGATTAGCACTTTGATCTTAGACTTCCCAATATCCAGAATTGTGAGTAATAACCTTCTCTTGTTCATAAATTTCCCTGTCTAAGGAATTTTGTTGTAGTAGCTTTAATGAATTAAGATGGTCACTTGAGATGAAAGCAAACTAGGAAAGGTTTAGAAATTTAGTTCATTGAGATATCTTTGCGTTCTCAGCCCTAGAATGCGTTTAATAAACTTTGTAGCTTTCCCCATCTTTTTTCATTGTTACTCGAGGAACAATTGTATTATTGTGCTTCTTAATACATCTGGACTAGAAATGAAACTCCCCAAGTGAATTTTTATATTTTATATGTGACCAGGTTTACCTTTCTGATAATTTCTAATATCTTTCTTTATCGCCACTCTGAAACTTCACAATGATATAGACACCTTGGTAAGGGCCTGCTGTGTGGGGTTTTAAGCAGTCCCTTTCAATGCCTCAGTTGTGTGAAATATTCTTATATTATTGCCTTAATAATTTTATTCCTTTCATTTGCTATTTTTCCCTAGAATTCATACTACTTGTATGCTGGACTTCCTCTCTTGATCCTCTGGGGCTCTTAGCTTTTCTTCCAAATGTTTATGTTTTTCTCTTTTTATTCCATTTTATCAAGATTTTTCTTTTCAGTTTTATCTTCCAATCCTTTGGATTAAAATAATTTTGTATACATGCGCACATGCATACATGTATATATGTATACATACATTATGAATAGATAGATAAATAGATAGATATGGATATATAGATATATAGGCTGGTCTTTATTCTTCTTCCTTTAAAAATATGAATCTTCTTGTTTCTCAGACACAAATTCTATGACGGTATGAATTACATCATTTTTTTTCTTTGGCTCCTTCTGTCCACACTGTCTCTGCTTCTTCTAAGTTCCTCTCCCATTAGTTTTCTTGGTTGATTGGTTGGTTTTGGTCTCTGTCCTTTATGTTAGTTTCTCAAAAGCCTAATGGTCTTTGGTTGTCCCTTTATAGTGAAGAGTAAGAAGCCCACAAGATGAGATCTCTGTGTGTCTGCACAGGGTCTATTGATTTGTGGGCTTCACCGAATGGGACCTAGGTGCCAGTATTTCTAAGTCTTTTTTTAAATTTGAAATTTGAATTCCCTGGAGAGGAGTACTCTGGGGTCCAGTGGGGAAGGTGGTTATGGGTCTACTGTTGAACATTCACTTAACCCCTCAGTCAATGAGAGGATCCTACTGGCCTTCCTCAGTCCTCCACAGAAACTTCTGGTTTGGTTTCTCTGGAGAACAAGCCCTGTTGGGGGACTGCTCCACTCTTCAGGAATCTTGGCATCTGACTCCTCTTTCTGCAGCTAATCCTACTATTTCTAGTAGTATCTCTTGCTGTACAATTGCCATCTGAAGTTCCCACTTCTCAAACCTTTCCAGGGTGCTGTGATCTGAATTGAATTGCTTTGGGGGGGCACCTTCCCCTGCCCCCAAAAGAAGCTAGATTTCCATTTTCTTTACTTTTTTCAGTTTCTTTTCTTTTTACTCTCACCCATTTTTAAATGGGTGTCTAGAAAAATTAGCGCATGATAAAGGGAAAGTAGGGGCTGGAAGGCTCACAAAAGAATTAGCATTTGACTGGGTCTTGAATAGTCAGTTGACTTTTCACTCTTGGAAAGGTGTCTGGAGAGTTAATGCAGGGAAGAGAATTCTGGGCCCAAGAAGTCACATGAGCAAAGGGGGAGACATGTGATTTAGGTTAAATGCTTTCTTTACCCTTAGTCAGTCACCTATTTCACCATCTGCTTTCCATATGCAAAACGTTGGACATTTCTGACCCAGTGTAGTCTCTTCTCCTGTACTTTGGTCTTTTTCCATTTTTGATGTTCAAAAATTGTCAATTAGTGGGACTTGGGAGTGCAGCAGTACTAAGTGCATTTGTTTAATTCAGGGTTTTCCAACTTGACATGGTCAGCATTTGGAGCCTGATGATTTTCTTGTTAGAGGGAAGCCCATGCCCTGTGCATTGTAGAATAAGCAGCATCTGGACCTCTAGATGCCAGTAGCTCCTACCCCTAGTTGTGACTTCACAGCCTCCGCACTGTGAACAATAACCTTCTGTTGTTCGTAAATTATCCCGTCTTAGGTATTTGTCTTTAGACATTGCCAAAAGCTTCTCAGAGGAGCAAATCAACCAGTTGAGAACCACTGGTTTAAATTCCTCTCTTTTATTGGATGTCTAGAAAAATAGATTCAACAGTGAATGATGGGGAGAGAGGAGAAAAAGGAGCTTTAGTAGGCTTATAAAGGAATTGGCATTTTGACCGGGTCTGGAACAGTCAGTTGGATTTTGTCTGGTGGAAGATTGGCTGGTGCAATAGAGAGTAGGGAGAGAAATTCTAGGTCAAGGAAACCCAAGAAAAAATGAGAGCAGAGATTTAGGTCAAATGGTTTAGTATAATCTCAGCGTAAGATATCTGTGATGGGGAAATTTTTGGAAAGGTAAGTGACAGATTACAAAGGCCCTGAATGCTCGGATATGGAACTTGGACATGAGCCTGCAGAGAAGTGATCACATCTTTCATTTTGAGCAATAAGTCTGACTTGAAAAAGTGGGAACTGGGTGCTGGGAAACCAGTTAGTTGTCTACTGTAATAGTTGGGAATAAGAAGGCCTGACTTGGGCGATGGGAACCGGAATTGGAAGCTTCAAGTGTCCTCATTTCCTCAATATTAAAGGAACCGAAGAGGGCGTTGGAGATAAACAGTGGTTAATGAAGATTTCACAGACATATTTGTCTATTCAAAGAAACACTCTCTTAATTCAAGGAAAGTACCTCACCAGTGGGAATTTCAGGGGGTGCATGCCCTTACAACCACACCTAGGAAGCAGCACCTTATTTAATTGGTGTGTTGTCAGCTCAGGGTCTAATTATAGCAATTGCCTATCACAAATGGTATTGGTGCTTGAGGTTAAAAAGGGAACTAATACTTCCTAATGAAGCCTCTTTAAATTTGCATCCGAAGGCAAAGCAGCCTACGGAAGAACTGAAGTTCTTTGAGAAGGAACTCAGTGCTTTTGCCCTTGACACCTCGGTTCCTAATCTTAGTAAGAGAAAGGGAACTACCCTTTTCTCTCAGGTCTGCTTGGAAGATGAAGCCAGTTTGACTTTCTGCCAACTACTGCTGTCTCTTAAAAAAAAAAAGGTAATTATAGATACTATCTTTGAATCATTATATCTTTACAAATAAGGAGTTCAATAAAAGCAAAGGAAAGATGGGGTGTGTGTGTGTGTGTGTGTGTGTGTAGAGGGGTAGATCTTGGAATTTGGGGGTTAAAAAGGAAATATTTATAAATGGAGGCTTCCTAGAAGTAAAATTAGAAATGAACAACTGAAACTGTGGTTGTCACCCCCAAGGGACAGGTGAAGTGGCCCTACCACTCTGCTCCAACTTTCCCCCTCTCTGCTTTCAATTTCTCCTCACTACTCCATCCTGCTTATTAGTGAATCGATGGGGGAAGTTTTGGTGTAACCTGAATATTTCCTGACTTGAGTCAAATCAGAAAAAAAGTACAGAAAGGAGATATGGTTTTGAGAGCAAAGGGAAATTGACTAAATGTGAAATCTTCAGTCACCATAGAAACTTCAGAGTGTCCATTTTGCGTTTCGTTGAAGGTTCTTGGAGACACAGGACAGCAGATCCTGACACCTAGCAATGGAGTGAATAATCAGACATGGCTTATGTGTCCCCATCGTCTTCGATTGTATTTCACTGGCTTCCCACTGGAAAGTGTGCCACACGATTGACTGCTGCAGGCTCAGAAAGTTTTGCTAACTATAGAAAAAACGGTGACAAGGAAGTTGGAAGATTCTGGAGGTATAGATAACATGAGCAGTGAGTTGCTGCTTGAAGGGATCAAACTTCATTAGATGGTGGGGATGTGTGTGATTTAACTTTATATTATTTCCTCTGAATTTTGGGGATGAGATCAGATGCATTTTAACAAATGACTCTCAGTCCAAGCCTGCTCTCTTCCATTCAAAATGTCCAATGAAACTACAATAAAATAGATAAGTTTTGACTAGATTTTAGTACTCATCTGCAAGATTCATCCTTGTTTTCGACTCAGAAAAAGGTTTTATTTTTGTGTGCAATGCCGTATTGAGGGGACAGCTCTCTGTCTAATTGCAGCTGGGTGGAGGTGTAATAGTACATCTGTACATTGCCCAATGTGAATGGATTTTGACATAATAAGAGATCATGCCCATTGATGTGTTTGTTTGCAATTATAGCTTGTCTCTCAAGTAGGATGCTGTTTTCTGAAAACTATTAATGAAACAGTAAACCTTGTACAAATCTAGACTTGGAAAGAATAGAACAAATGTTGGGAAACTTTGTCACAATTGACAATTGCTATTTTTTGTTTGTTTGTTTTGGGTGGTGCTGAGGATTGAACCTAGGGTCTTGTGCATGCTAGGTAAGCACTCTACCAACTGAATTATATATCCTTAGCCCCTGACAACTGCTAATGTTCACTCAGTTGGTCAGAAGCAGCGCCGTCATTGGTTAAATAAATTTTACGATGAAACCTCAAATATCTACATGTCCTCAGTCTATAACTTGTTAACCATTGCTAGACTTTAGCTGGATTGAGGATGGTAGGTAAAGGTAGACACCCAGAGGAAAGTGGTGTTACTGGATAGTCCGTTTTTTTTTTTTGTTCTTTTAAAATTCTGTAAGTGTTAACCATTCACTAAAATCAGTAAGCCTCTTGAACCATTTTCTTGTTCTGATATAGTGGGGTGCTGGTGAGGACTGTGTTTTCATTTCTGAAACTCAGAAGATTGACTGCCATGAGGAGGATTCAAAGTACTTTGTGCCGATTTGGTGGAGTCTGGATCTGATTTGAGCCTATTTGTGGGGGCCTGATTGGGGAGCCACTTTTGGGGATTGTTCAACAGGCTCAGATACCAATAATAATGAAGGCTAACATTTGTGGAGTGTTTCCTTCCTAAGTGTCTCACATAGATTCATCCATAGACTCCTTAAATGGCCCCAGGGCATGTCTCCATCTTAGAGATGAGAAGACGAGGCCCAGGGATATTAAATACATTGGCTGCTAGTACATGGTACAGCCAGAATTGGAAGCCAGGTGATCTGATGTTGAAGTCCACACTCCTAGCACCCATGATTCCTCTTGAAATAATTTGTTCTGGGGTAAACAGGTAGAGATGTGGCAAAAAAAGGGGGGACATTTATTAACCTGGACAGACCTGTGGAATATGAAATCTTGGGAACAAAAAAAAAATGGAATAGGATGAGATGTGGGGAAGATAATCTGAATGAAACTACTTATTTGCATGCTCTGATCCCAGGGTGATAGTGATCAATGTAGGAAAAGGATACCACTCATTTTTTACAGCAAATATTTATGGAGTGTCTACTGTCCTGTCTGCACCAGGCAGCTGTGCAAAGCAGAGGATCCTACAGCATTCCCCGGGAGGAATAGGCATCGCTGACCTTCAATTTGGAGACTCTGGCTTCATATTGCTCTTAGAAAGTTCCAGTAACTCAAGTGCACCTTGTACTTTTCTCAACTTTCTGTTGAAACCTTCTCAAGAGTTTCAGGTGTGGTCACCAACATAGTAAGTGAGTGGTGGGCTTGGAAGAACTGGCAGAGGGAATACACAAAGCTGAGGTGCCCCTGCCCATGGAAGTGCCAGGGCGACACGGTGATCCCAGAAGAACTTAAGATAAAACTTCCCGTCTCCAACACAGGTCTGAGCATCTTATATTACCTGTAACGTTGTTTTGGCTCTTCTTTATTTGCCCAGTGCTTGACTTGGTGAGGAACTGTTCAATAGTTATTTAGCCTGCATACTGTAAATCTTCAGGTTTGACCACAGAAGTATTAATTTGATTATGTGAATTCTACCCAACTCCATCAGCCCTGTATGCTGTGTTACTATGCTGGCTACCTTCCTTTGCCCGCCTAAATCCATCTCACTCTGTGCCCTGGGAAGTGAGCTGGGGCTTGGTTCATTGGGCTCCTCTGGCCCTCCAGCTTCTGCTTGGGAATCAGTTAATGGAAAGCGCTGGCTGAGACCAGAGGATGGGAGGAGAGTGACAGGAGTATCTATCTCCTTGACAGGCCTACTGCTGGGTCACGAGGTGGCAGTGGTTTAGTTCCTCTGTGAAAAGCCACAGCTCTTGTCAGACAGCCTCTAGTAAAACTATAGTTTCAGTCCAGTCTGGGTTCCTGTGACCATTGCCTCCCCCATCCCTCCAGGTCTATGAATTCCTAATGTGCAGTGACATTTAAAATATAAGATATAAAGAAAATAAAAATAAAATATAAGATATAATAACAGAGTACAAGGTATGGTCTAAAAACTATGTGATTGAGAATGATGGAATAAGAGGAATTATGGCTTGGAATGTGGTGATTGTGCTTTATTGTTCTCAGAAGAAAGAGAAGGGAATGGAAGAGCCGATTAAGTGCAGAGAATTATCTATCGATCATCTCTGAGCCAGGTCAATGTGCATGTCTCAGCTTGCTTCACTCCACCGATAGTCTTGTGGGAACTGCTGTTACTCTTATTTTAGAGATTATGGACTTGACTGTGGTTATACAGTTAGTAACCACTGCTAGTTAAGTGGCAGGGCCCGGATTTTACTGCAGACCTCAAGGGCGGATGAAATTGCTGCTTCTACCCCAGGCACCTCCTAGGAATAGGCCATTCTTCCTTGGCACTCTTGGGCTAGAAGACAAGGGTACAAGAAAAGGGAGGCCAGGATTTCACAGATGGTGATGGATTCCAGATGTCAGGTCCTTTCTTATTTTGGCAGCTGATAAGATAGCAGGAAGGAGCCAGGGTACCAGGATGAAGAAAGCACCTTGCTGAAGGATGAGGGGAGGAAAGGATGCACATGACGGTGTCTTAATCTGTTCTCTGTTCCTGTGACTGAATACCACAGATTGGGTTATTCACGAATAGAGGTTTATATAGCTTAAGGTGCTGGAGGCTGGGAAGTCCAAGAACATGGTGCTGATGCCTGGTGAGGGCTTCTTTGCTGCACCATAACATGGCTGGGGGCATCTCAGAGTGAGACAGAGCAAATGTTCTAGGGTCAGATCTTTCCTCCTCATCTCATAAAAGCATTAATGCTATTGTATGACCCCACCCTCATGATGTCATTTCACCCTGATTAAATCTCAAAGGCGCCACCCCCAGATACCATTAGCATATGATTTGGGGAATTAAGTTTCCAATACACAAACTTTGAGGGGAATACATTCAAGCCATAGCAGCGGGCAAGGTTTGAATGGTAGCCTTAAGTGCATACTCCCTGTGAAGCTTTCTCTAGGCTCACCCTGCTTACTTTCAACTGTATGGATAAATAAGAGCCAAGGTCTTCAAATCCTTTGGTTGAGTGGAAACCATGAATGTGAATGGCTCAGAGAGATCATTAGTCATATCCTTAGCTGTGACTACCTCACACACTTTATTTTATAGGAGCCTTCTACTGAGAGGGTCCTTTGGATTATCCTTTTGAATCAGATGTCAAAGAGTGGTCTTATGTTTTAGGTTTTGTTTTGTTTTGTATTGGGAATTGAACTCAGGGGCACTCAACCACTGAGCCACCTCCCCAAACCTATTTCGAATTTTATTTAGAGACAGGGTCTCACTGAGTTGCTTAGTGCCTCGATGCTGCTGAGGCTGGCTTTGAACTCACCATCCTCTTGCCCTAGCCTCCCAAACCTCTGGGATTATAGGTGTGCGCCATTGCAGCTGGCTTGGTTTTATGTTTTGCGGAAGGAATTACACCTTCATTTCCATTGTGAATTCCTACTGTTCTGATTGATAACACATACACTTGTAGCTTCCAAAGCCGGGTCAGGGCTTTGGAATAGACGGAACTGGCATCAAATTTTGGCTTAGCTGTGAAGTAAGTTAGAGTGTAGCTTGGCTGTATAAAACAAATTTGAAATAATAGAGAGATCAACAAAATAGCTTTTTAAAAAAATTTCTCAGTCTGAGGTGTTCTGAGACTGGAATAACTGTTATTCACTATGCACTGTTCAGAGACCAAGATCCTTCAGTTTTGTTTTTGCACAACCCATAAAATGATGCTTTCAAATGTAAAGTCCAAAGTGGTTCTTACTTCATCGGTATTCCAAGCAGCAGCATGGTGGCAGAGGAGAAAGCGTTGGTGTTGGCGGGAAGATCTCTTTCCCTTTAAAAGAAAACCTATGGTGTTACCCAAAAGCATACTATTTTTCTTCAAAGCCTATTGGCCAGATCTTATTCTCATGTCTGTAGGTGGCTGCAGGGAAGGTTGGGAATTGTAGTCCTTTTCCTAAGAGGCATGTGCCAAGTCCAAAAATCTATCACTTTGGGACCAACTATATGGCTTTAGGCTAATGAACTAACTTCTATGTCTCCTTTTCTGCATCTCTAAAAGGGGAATAATAAGACTACTTCATAGAGTTGACATGATGATTTAAAAGAAATATAATTGATGCACTTAGTGAGCATTTGATAGAGAAGCTGTGATTATTGTTGGTTCATTGAGGCTGGGAAAAGTTATGGAACCATGGACCCAGCCCATAGGACCCTGAGTTTGCCATTCTTTTTCAAAGAAAGCTCATGTTTGAATCCTGTAAAGGTCTTTCTGATTAGGGCTTAGTGATCAAAAAATTCCAATTAAAAGCAAAAAGGTACATTTCACATTATTCCTAGGAGAAAAGCAATAGTGGTGGCTACAATTTCTTTTTCTAGTCACTAACTCGTAGAGGACCATGGGTTAAGGTGGGAAGCAGAGTTTGGCTTCATCTTCTGCTACTTATCATGTCTACAGCTCACCTTTTATTC